AACTATCTTAATACATTTGATTATACTTGTAGAAGACTTTTCTTAAAAGTTTCAGTGTTCACTGAACTCTTAAATCAACACCAAAGAATTCACTGATTCTGATTCTCCCTGTGCCTCTCAGAAGTGCCTCCTTAGTAATTTATGTGAGTTCAGAGAGTCAACAGTTGTTTTAGTTTGGCTCTTTATCTAAGCTTACCTAACTTAGAATCTACTCAAAACGTTCATGCTACATATAATATTTCATATGCACAAAGGTTGACTTATATTCTCCACAATCACCTGTTACAATCAGGAGCAGGTGTCACCCCCAGGCACTGATGGACACAGGGACTGAACAGAGAGTACAAAACCAGGTGTTTATTGGGAGATAAACTTGTTCTTAGTCAGACAGGCCAAGGTCAGAACCAGGGAATCCAAATCGGAATCAGGCGGCCCCTGATCTCCGGGCCAGACAGTCGGGGGATCCGAGCCTGCGGGCCCAGAGTCCAGGTCAAAACCGATATCAGGTCACAGGGTCAGACAGGCAGGGGGTCGAAGCCAGGAGGTTCTTATCCAGCAGAGAGAGTCAGGGATCGGGGACAGGAGAGGAATAGACAGACAGGTTAGATACTGGGAAGTTAGCGCAAGTTTCTAAAGCAGGCCTGAAGGTATTACGGCTGAGGGCTTCACAACAATCTGACGCCGTGCAGGGGGAGTTCCTTCCTTATATGGCAGCAGGTGGGGATCAGGAGGATGATGATCAGGGGCGAGTGGTCACTGCTCAGCAGCAGCTGTGACAGCAGGAAGTAACAGAGATGAAAGTTCATGACTAATTAAAGTTGTTAAACAGTTAAACTATTTTTAGGGGTGTTTTTTTCATTCTGGTGTTTGGTTCTTTCCTCAGCCTTAAAACCTTACAGGAGAATTTTGGTTTCAATATGCAGGATATGACTGTCTCACGAAGGTATAATTAGAAATATTTTTTAAGAAACCACAGGGTGTGAGCACAACTTCTATAAGTATTTCGGGAAAAAAAACAACAACAAACAAACCACCACATCCCACGCACAAGCACGCAACAAACTTTTTATAAGGACATATAAACCAAAGGGAAACTAAAATGCTATCCCCTCTGTTTTTCATTCACAGAAAGAAGGACCAACATACTGTATATTATCATCATTGCTGTCCCTACTGTATGTTTCCTAATATTAATATCTGCTTTGGTCATTCTGAAACAAAGAAAAAAGTAAGTCCTTACTATTGTAGTTTCGATCATGACAACGAGGTTTTCCTGGGAAGAAACTAAATTTCTATCTCTTTCACAGGAACAGATCTCCTTCAGAAATACGGGTAAATATGACCTTAGAATTCATTGGTAATGTTTTATTCACTTTCAGGAACCAGAGTGTCAAGTACATTGCTTGCTCAATACTTCATGTAATTCAGGAATAACAGTGACTTAAGGAAGATGGTGTCATTTCGTACAATTGTTGTGCAATCTCAACCTCCCACATATATATATATCTATATATAGATATATTTCTATCTATCTATCTATCTATCTATCTATCTATCTATCTATCTATCTATCTATCTATCTATCTATCTATCTATCTATCTATCTATCTATCTATCTATCTATCTATCTATCTATCTATCTATCTATCTATCTATCTATCTATCTATCTATCTATCTATCTATCTATCTATCTATCTATCTATCTATCTATCTATCTATCTATCTATCTATCTATCTATATATATATATATATATAGAGAGAGAGAGATGTTTATATATATATCTATATCTATTTAGATATATAGATATATTTTCTATTTTTTGTAAGTTTTCAAAAGGAAAACTATATTTGAATTATAGATGGATAATATATGCTTTCCAGTTAATAAGCAAATCTTTACTTTGCGAAAAAGAGAAAAATATCAAGTTGAGTGCTTAGAATACATTATTTTATAGCAGATACTGAGATTTTAAGGGCAGATTTCTTCCATTCTTAATCAATTTAGGTCATCAAACCAGTCCTATCAGACAAGGTTAACTGGAGTAAATGCTAAATGTAGATTTCAAATGATTTTATCTAAAAGTGCAAAGATGTGCTCCTCACCAAGCTGGCCGTGTTAAAATACTACGGCCGTTCTTGTTAAAGTATTACTATTGAGCGTATTACGCTTTTCACGCCCACACCTGATTACTGGCTGAGCTGTAGAATCAAGAAGTCCTTTAAATAAAACCTGACAGCAGACAGGAAGTAGGCTGAAAGGTTTTAAATAGCATTGTGCCCCCACCAAGAGATTTAAGAACGGATGATTACGCAAACCCAATAATTAGTTTGCATTAGGTTTGTATTAAATCAAGCTCCACTTTACTTTGAACCTTTGAATCTTCTTGGAAATGAGCAGTCTCCTATAACTACTTAAACATTAAATCATTCAGAAGATTACACAAACAGCTCGAGCACTGCTGGTCTGCCACGCCCAGCTGAAACCACTGTTGGCAAGAAAAGTACAAAGACTACAAAGATTCATTTCAGATTAGCCTAAAGCATCTTGATGACAACTAAGATTTTTGGGAAATTATTCAGTTGACTGAGAAGAGCAATTCAGAACGTTTTGGAAGACGTGCAACCTGCTAGCAAACGTTTCAAAAAGAGAACAGCATGCTGACATTTAAGCAAAGTGGTTGAAATGTGGTGATCTGTACCTTCTTGCCGATTTGTCATTTATAATTGATGAAAACAAGGATTCTGACTTGTAGCCAAAAATCCATTTGGGGAATATCCAGTCCATTTGTGCAGTGACGCTAAATGCAGTTTTGTCAATGTGTCATTAGATCTGGATCCTTCCTGTTGTAGAAAACCAAGTTGTTGTGGATTGCTTTGTTTTTTTTTTTTACTAAAATAATCTGAAATAGATTACTGATAAGCTACTTAGTTTACTATTGTCTTATTAAATAATTTGTAAAGGAGAAAATAAGTTTATCTTCTTCAGAAAGTTGTTCTGAATCATCTGACTTCTGTTTTGTTCCTCTTCTTACAGCAGCAAAAACAAGTGGAAGATATTTATGAAAACCATTTGGAAATTCAGCGCCGCCAAGCTTACCTTAACAAACCTTGATGTTGCTGCTGTTTACCCTGCTTTCAATAGAACGTTATTTACAAGGGACATGATGTTCTAAATTTACCCTCATGGTTGTAGTTATGAGTCTCTGACAGAGGCAATATTTGTTTTTCACAGGTTAAACAGAACAGGCTTTATTATTCCAAGCTGTTTGCTCTGTGACTTATTGCAGTCATTGCTGGCTTTCTACCAATATTTAAATTCATTGCACTTTTGGACTTTATATTACACAGCTTCTATGTTCTTCCTAGTCAAAAGAGTTTTCCTGTAAGCCATGACCACTGAGTATTTTTGGACTTAACCACAATGAACCACAATGTTCTTCAAAGGTAGTTCCCAACTTTGAATTACTCCAAGTCTGAAGCCTCCTGAAAGCGTTACCAGAAACATATATTTTAATTGCATGTTTATATTATGTAATAGACCAACACATTGAAGAGAATTACTGAGATGGAAGGGAAAAAGATAAATGTTTTTCAGTCTGATGTGCATTTAAATTAAGCTCCACTTTACTCTGAAATAGAGATTTCCCAGAGTGATTAATTTCCATAAATCAGTCAGAGGTTTTCTTAGAGCATTACAGAATAATGAACAATGGCATGCATATCACTTCACATCATCCTTTAAGTTTTGTACATATTGTGGGAGTTCAAAAATCATACAACACTGAAACGCAGCACACTGTGTGACCTTGGTGTAATAACAACTCTTCCTGCAACAACATTCCCTCCTAAAGGCCAGTCAAATATATCAGTTTGTCATTAACTGGACAGATGTTATATCCAGTCAAACCATAAGCACATTGTCGCTGTTTATTCCTCAAACAATGTGCTTATTGTTTGAGGAAGACACTGAAAAGAGGCATAGTGAAGAGTGGTGGAAGAACGTGTGGCTAAGCAATTGAGAATTGTGGAAATGCTTTGGATGCATGAATAATTAAAGACAAAATACCCAAACTGTTAATGTGCAAATCAGGTGTAGACACTGGACCAGAGGTGGGGTTAAGATTTTCATTTATAACCAAATGCAGCATTTTCTTCCCACTTCATATTTGTGCACTACTTTGTGTTGGTCTGTCACATAAATTCCCCCCAAAACACACTGAATACTGTGACCTAAAATGTTCAAAGGTGGTGAATGTGTTCACAAATCAATGTGGAGTGTAAAAGAAGGAAACAGCACAAAAATCCAGCTTATAAAAAATAGTGCAATGTGCCAAGTTCCCAAATGAGGCCTCTTAATAAAATAAAAGACAGCATAACAAAGAAACGAGTGGGCATTTCTGTTGACATACTGTGTTACTGTAGCAGATATTAAGAAAGTTCAATGGAAATTATTAAAATACAAAGTATCTGCCCTTCAAACTTTACAAGTCAGATTATTTTTAATTATTTTATTTTCCACAGGTATGAAATTGAACAAAGTAGCAGTAATAGATTATAAAGAGTTGATGAAAGTTCTGTTCAACCAACAAAGACAATGGGCTTGTTTTTTAAGTTGTTGGTTTAAATTACATTTATTAATGTCTTTATATTAAAAACGTTAATAAAAAGAAGCTGAAATAAAGCATTAATTTTGGCAAGCAGTATAAATAAAGTTAACAGGTGCAACAGAACTTACAAATAAGCATTCTTTCCTAGCATAACCTTGTGACACTCCCTATTTTTTATTTTTCTGTCAACACACTCCCCATACCACAACATCCACAGAAAAATTGTATTACTCATTTCCTCTAACCTTGGCATCAACTTTTTGATGCAACTGAGCGACTTTCATATTTAGACTGTTCACCCACTTCACACTTGGTCAGCTGTGGCTCTATCTTTACATAGATCCGTTTTCAAGGATGCTGGGTGTTAAAAACAACAAAACTGAGGCACAGATCTGTTTTTAGGTCTACTTTTAATTAAAAAAGGAAGTTAAAAGTTCCTACAACAATCACAAATTTCAGTTGTATAAAGCTACAGCTAAAGCAGAAAATAAGTCAAGCAAAAAAATATGTACATGCAAACTTGTGAAACAAAATAAAAGATGGAGCAGAATGAAAATTGTACAGCTAAAAATTATTGTTTTTGTAGCAGCTAATAAATAGAAAATAAAAAAAATATGAACAATGGAGTGATTTATTTCTTAAGAGCAACCCTTGCTGTGCTTAATAAAACAGGATTAAAAAAAGCAAAAAACAGCAAATGTTTAACATATAGGTAGACATGTTAAAACAGAAAAATGTCAGAACAAAACAGAAAGAAAGCAGAGAAAATAAATTTTAGACTCCCAATGGTGGATGGACATGAGGCTGAGCAGAAACTATGAACCTAGAATCTAATGAAGTACAGAAAAACAACACCAAGTTTTAAACACAGTAAGTGTAAATGTCTTTTCCACACATATGACACACATTTATGAAATAAGACATGGAAATCACACAATTTGGTCCCTTTTAAGTACAATCAGTTAGCTGTAATAATAATAATAATAACTTTAAGCGTGATGTTTACACTCCAAGAAAAAGCTGATCATCTTTTGACAGAAATTTCATCATTGTCACAGATTTATAAGCAGCCACCTTGTTCCAGGAAATCATTTTCTGACCTGCAAATAATTTGGGAGTTTTACATGTGGTTTTGAGGTAACAGTTTTGCTGTTTTACTTTCAGCAGTTGGTATCGGAGCATTGTTTTTAAAACTCCTTCTCCTTTATGGTTTAGCTTAGACAGAAAATTGACCTCTTGTGCTTGGGTAGAAAAATACAAATGCTTCATATACAGTAAGTTCAGCAGTTTATAATATCGAGAATGTACCAAAATAAAGCTGATTTGCCACAGAGATGGTACATTTTCCAATTGTTGCAGCATAGAAATAACTTCAGTGTGTAACTACAGACAGCCCTAATAGTTCAGTTTTCAAGATTAAATGCAGAGTTGTTATGCAAAAAGTAAGAATGACCTAAATAATTGTAAGCATAAGCAAATGTTGTACACATACACTTCTAAAGCTACATCAATGAACACCAGACTGTACAAAAATACAGATTTAGTATCAATTTAGTAAAAAAAACAAACAAAACTTGTCAAAGTTTGCTTCATTTGCAATGTTAAGGCATTGCTTCTTGCTTCCGGATGCAATTTTTTTTTTAGATATTTGTAAATTAGAAATTATGCTAAAATCCCAAATTTAAAATCTCTTCCGGAAGACAAGAAGAAAGGCAAACTTCTGTTGGACTCTTCAGAATCAAAAATATTTTCAAGCTTTGTTGACATCTTTGCTGAGTGAATTCACTCTAACTTTAACAAACTCCCATACAGCACAAAGGGTTTGCAGACTGGGAGGATTCAGTCTTGCTCTATTAATGTAAAGCACCAGTTAATTTAGTCCAAAGTGTGTCATAAACTCCACTATTCTAAAATGACATTGTACACAATGTTCTCCTCAATATCTTCAAAACATGATAAATGTAAGTCAGGATGGCCCTGTTCTGGTCATGCCCTGAACTCCTCTAATATTGTTGTGCCAGTATTAGAACAAAACAAAATCTATGATATGTATTTATACTCTTGTGTATGATTTATTGTTGTATGTTGTATTTTGAAAATGTGACAAATATATATATAAGAGAAAGAACTGTCGATTACATCTAGTTTTTCGAAAGCAACTGCATGTCTTATACAGCAACACCATTAATATAATTTGAAAAGCGCTCTATGTTAGATCTGCTGCACAGTTGTACTGGCACAATCTTGGTATCACTTTCGATTTTTTCATTGCAGGTGTAAAAGCACACACTCGTTCAGTGTATTGCTAAAGCTATGTGAGAATTTAACATCTGTTGTTTTATTTATTAGAGGACAAGTCCAAATACTTTGCACAATTCTGTGCGGAGTGTAAAGGGTGTCATGGTTTACCAGCATGCTGGTTGACCTGGAGGCCATTGCTGACATCAGCAACATTTATGAAAACCGGAACAGCTTTGGTACATTTTCACACTGCAGTGTTGTCTTTCTGCTCGTGTGCTTTAAACAGATCAGAAGTTTGACTTGGTGTCACTAAATACTATTTTTAGTTTCTGTAGTTTCAAACTTTATGAGAATAACGAGCGAGTTTGACAGTGTTAAGAGCGACACTGACTTCTTATCACAAACAGTGTTTGCAAATAAATGCAGCATCAGATAAAAAGGAGGCAAATAAGGTTTTTTTGTCACGGTTTTGGATTTCTGAGAGAGATAAGGATGAAATCTCTCTCATAAATTTTTTGTTGTACAAATATGAGTTTTAAATCCCAGTTCACTTTAAAAGCAAAATGGTGAATCGGCTTAATGTTGTGATGTTGTTTCTGCATACAAGTAGATGGCTCCATCAGAAATAAACATTATTTGTTAATTTTCTAGGTTCAACCTCTCCACTTTGGCTCTTGATCAACATTTTTTTTTTAAATCTAGTGTTTTCTAGTAGGAAGCATTTAAACAGGAAGCTTAAAAAAAACCCCAGATAAATTAGAGTCCCTCCATCAAACTGTGATTCATCTGTTAATTACTTTAAAAAAAGAAATTAACAGAACACAACAAAATATTTCTTTTGAAAATGGTCAGATGATTAAGTAAACAATAAAGGCAGACAAATTCTGACGAAACAAAACTCTGGAGAACAGATAAAAACACTTTGAAAGTCTGGGTTCTTGAAAGCTTCATTTAAACAAGGACACTTTTCCAATGACCCAACAGAATTAATAATTATGTAAACTAACACAATAACACTCGTTACCTTCAGAAATTAAATAATGCTGAATCGTTGACATTCTGGGAAGAAAAAAAACAAAATCATACAACTTAAGCATTAAACATAAAAAACATTTAAAATATGGAACTTGCACTTCCTCAGCGTAACTAACATCAACAAAGCCTGCAGGAGGTGATGTTGACTAAGTATGAAACTTCGTTTGCAGTCTCAAACTAAACTATTAATGTAACAAACACTTGGTTTTGAAGACATCCGTACAAGGGAGCATAGCTTCGTCATTGTTTGTGTTTTTCAGTCACTGAAAGAGTTGCGTCCATCTCAGCTTTCAAAAACGTAATGTCTCCGCAAAGATTTAAAAATTTAAAAAGGCTTTTCAGGTGATTGGGTGAGTGACACAAGTCTTTCACCCATTTCAACTCAAGTAAAACCCAACAACTAAAGTAATAATCTACTTGATTTTGGATTTTTATAGGTTGGACTAGTTAAAGGTTTATATTTAACATTTTAAAGTAAGTAGAGGCTTTAATTGCGCTGTTTACAACACAGCATGCATATTTACTGCATCCTATGCATAAAATGCCTCTCAAACGTTTGCCTTGTTAACATGGCAGAGTTTTTTTTTTTTTTTTTTTTTTTAACCACAGCAGTAGCTTGAACATGCTGGAGGATTTATTTTCCTCATATGGAACTGAGGATTTTTTTTTGCATAAAGTTGTAAACATTTAAAAACAAAGTTCTGGTTCAAAAATCCTTCAGTTGTCCACTTCATATTTGCTAATCGATGGTTTCCTTTTTCTGTGACTCCAGGTATGCATCTAAAAATTAACAAAATAATGACATAATGACAGGAAAATTAAGCTCTGAAATGGCGCTGGTGTGAGATGTGAGCTGATTTCCACCAAAGAAGCCTAAGTTTTGAACAGGTTTAAGCATGAGAAGGGTTATTATTATCATTGCTTTTTGTTTTCGAAAAAGAAAAATCAAAAATTTTGAGGGCACAGAAGAATTTTGAAGTTACATTTCATGCTCACTGGTGTTTCAACAAGTGTGTATGCCTCTATAATAATAATGATCATAATAATAATTAAAAAGTGTAAATTGAGTTCACTAAAGATGCAGTGTTTTGAGACATTGTTGCCGCAATATAGAGGGATCCTACTTACACCCTTTTCTTACATCATATACATTTAATGAGAAAACATTTACCTCAAAAATGTTGTTTTTGAGGTAAATGTCAGAAAATCTGACAACTGACAGATTAACATCAAAATATGTCAGATTAAAATCCAACATCTTTCCTTTGGATATTTCTCTAAGCAAAGAAATATTCCAAAATGTGGTAAAAAAAAGTGAGTAAAAGGTTATTCCACTGTATTTCTCTACAAAAAACTTAGATCAGTTCTAAAGATGAGAAATGGGGTTTCTCTCGTAAATGTATAACTGTTTTCAAATATAAAAATATCACTTGAAATGCTTAATCATTCTTATTTTGAAATGAAACATACAGTTGCACAACAGCAGTGGGAAGAAAAGTAACCAAAAAGGAAGCCAAATGCTGGTGGGGGAAATACTAAAATAAGTTTGTAGTGTTGGAAAACTAAGTCAAATTATTCACTGCAAATTCTCATGTTTTCACTAAAAATGAAGTTAATGCTAACTGCTAAAAATAAATATGTTAGTGGAAAACTATATACCTAATGCATCGCTGGTTCGCTGACTTACTTTCTACATAAACGACATCCTTCACAGTTAAAACCACATCCTTCAGTTATCAATGTTACTGTTGATTGGAGACCAACGACTGGCTGCATCCGTATTTTAAGGAGCAAGTTTGGGTTTCTCAGTCGACAGCTGCAGAATGGAGTCTTAATGCCTCAGTGTTATAGAGCGTGCTTGACGCAGAGGGGATGGACAGAAAAAGGATCATTTCGGTTTTGCCTGGGATAGGAAGTGTTAGGGAGAAAATGCATAAATAAAGTTTAATTGATCTTAAATATCGGTCTTTTTTGTTTCTTGACATTCACGGTTACTTTGACAACAATATTCTTGGCTAAGAGTCGATATCACTTCCTGCTGTTGAAGAAGCAGGAAGTGATGTGGCACAAGATATTGAATAAAACCTCAGATAGAAGCAAAGCTTTCGTGCACCCTCTGACCAAAACCTGCAAGTAAGGTGGGTGGAGTGTTTTGCTAATGGACACGACAGAGAAAGCAAGAGGAGGAACTGAGCCAGCAACCCAGCGTCCTGTAGTTTCAATCTTTGTCAAAGATCCTAAACAGACAAAACAGACAATTCACAAGTCTGGTTAGCCTAAAATCAAGTCTCCAAAGATTTATGGGAAATGAATCTTTGTTAAAACAACGCAATAAATTACACATAGATTGCAATTACATTAAAAAAGTATTTTAAAACACACACATTTACATGTAAATGTAAGAAAAAGAAGGAAATGCATTGTGGTGCCATGACTTACGAGTAGCTTCTTGGACTTCTTGGGTCTCAGCTCTTCCCCTCTGGTTAAAGTGGAGCCTCTTCTGTTTCGCCTGGTGAGGATGTTGGTACTTCATTTCTGTCAGTCCTTAGAAACCTGACAAGTGAAAACAAGACATAACATGAGCAGCATGAATTTAAAATGGCATCAGACTTGATGCTTAAAGGCTGTTGTAGCTTTTACCTCAGATGTTTAAAATATCCATGTTTGTGCAGAAGCGCAGCAAAGCCGACCGCCGAAATCAGAAAAAGAATAATAAAACAAATCCAACCAGTAATGGAGCTTGTTTCTGTAAAACAAAACACAAATGTGAAATGTTAATTAAAAACTTGATTTTGTTTGACAAACTGGCAAAATGTAATACATGATTTACATAAATCTCACAAAGCTCAACATGTAGCTTCTCCTAGAACTTAAAAACAAGAACCGCACCAGACCAGAATATGTCTGGTGCCCACAGAGCCAAAGATAACAGGGCAAGGCCAGAAAGCTGCATAAAATATGCTGCCGCTTGCCAGTTATACACATCAGAGGGAGAGTCTGGCCTGACATGTTATTCCACTTGCACAAAAATAGTGCTCCAGAAACTGATGTCTCATTGTTTGAGAGACTGTTTAGGGTTTTCCCCTGTGAAGTCAAAATGCCTTCAATTAACTGTAAAGAAAACATGTTGGAATGGGATGTTGATGACAACTTACATGTTTCCTTGAAGCACTGCAGTCAACTAAGGCAACCTCTAGCAGTGAGCCCTGTTTGTCTTAGCTATTTAAAATGTGCCTCGTTCTCCAATTCCCATTCCTTAAAAAAAAAAGAAAACCTGTGCTCTGTTTTGTTGAAATATTTAATGAAAGTAAATCAGATTAAATCACTAGTTGCCACTTAACATCAGGCTGCTCACAGAAATGTTTGATCTGATGAACAATAGTTCCTTGTGTTTAAAGGAACATTTTGGTATGTAGTTTGTCAAAGCCTATTCATCTCCATGTTTTTCTAAAAATATTTTTATCATTTTTGGACCCACTGGCTGATCCTCATAACTTGCCACACAGATGGTAACCCAGATCCAGGCTAATTACATGAAGTGCACATTTTGTTTTACTTAAACAAAATGTAAAACAAGACGAACTTAAACTTAAATTATATTGTGATTTTATATGATAGACCAATACAAATTACAGCACAATTGCAAAGGAAAGGGGAAAAAAAAAGATGTTTATAAATAAGTTATTTCAACAAACTAATTTGTTAATAATATTTAGCCTCCTTCATCTAATACAGAAAATTGAATCATTTGGATGTTTTTGTGAGCTTTTTCAAGTATTGCCACAGATAAGCCTGTTCTAGCACAAGAATGCCCTAAACTGTTTCATTCAACATGTGATTGTGGGATTGGAGTCTCTGTCCTGTTGTAGGTTCTCCTCTAGTATAACGCTATATTTAATTTCAGGACCATTTCACAGGCTACACTCCTGCACAAAATGACCAAAATAAATTAAAACAGGAATTGCTGCACTGACTCCCATCCTTCAGCCCCGAACAGTAGCCATTAAATAAGCAGAGATTGTCATCTTGCCAGACGAACAAATCCTTTTGATTTCATCTACAAAGATCTCACAGTTGGACTGGACACAGTCCCCGAACAACCAGGCTCCAAAAACAAAACTCACAAAAAAACCTACTGGTCAAAGAACCCAGAGGTCCAGAAACTTACTGATAACAGCTTCAGACACTAAGTCTGTGTCAGCAATAGGGCAAAACCCTCTAAATGCAACAATCTGCAGCTGTGAAGGAAGAACAGGGAGGACAGAGACTCAGCAGATAAGAAAAACTCTCTTTCATTTTTGTCCTGATGAAGAACTTTCAGCCTGCAGGCGCAGCAGAATTTCCTGCCCACTAATGATTTCCTTTTCCTTCAGAAAACAAGTGAAGCAAGTTTGCTTTGACTCAAACTGTTTTATTGGAACTGCAACCAGTCAATGTTGTGCAGCAAAAGTAAAAATAGATAATAAAATATGCTGTCTGGAACTTGCGGGTCTGTTGCTTTTGTAAGTACTTTGACATGTCTTTAGCTTGTCCTGTTGCATCAAAACAACATCATGGTTTTCTTTGGATCTCATGTGAGTAGTGTTTCATAAGGTTATTCTGCAGTAAATAGGTACTGGGAGTGTCTCCTCCTCACTCTGAATTATTACTGCTTTATTATTTGAGAACCATTTTCTCTATATTTAAAAAAAACATTCCAGTCAAGTCTGAACAGTTACATCCTCCAGGCTACGCACTAAATTACAAAATAAAGACTGAGGATCAAGAAGGATCTAATCATTTCAACAGCAAAAGAAAGGATGCAAGAATTTAAAGTATTTTGCCTGCAATGAGCGAAAGACATTTAAAATAGCATTTGGTTGTAAATACATAGGTTCAGTTGATGGTTAAAAAAAAAACTATACAGCTTGCATGAATGGATTGCGATAAACAGCTCTGTAAATTATATACAACATTCCCTTCACAATTGACTTTACAAAGGGGCATAAAGGGGAAATTATACTGGGTGTTGCCATATAATGCATTATATCCAGGAACAATGGATGGATTCAAGGTGATGGATTTATTACTTGCTTTATGTTACTTCGCCCCTCCTTTTGTTGATTGTTTAAAGGCAAGGGAAGGCATGTTGATGTACAAAGTGACCTTTGTTTCGAGTTGTCTGTGCAGATACAGCTTTTCTGCAGACCCAGATAAGCTATTAAGAGTGGAACCAAAATAGAGCGACCATTGAAACAACCCCAGTTCAAACAAAGCACTGAACAAAACTACAAATTTAGAGAAGTTGAGGAGAACATTGATTATTAAAGAACAAAATATTCACATCTCAAAAATCTTGCTTGAAAATGCTCAGAAAATACTTTCCAAAAAGCTTAAATAGCTTATTTTAAACAGGTCAAAGACAAATTATCACCTGAGAAATCCACGAAGAGGAAACTTTGAGTCTTTCCGTATATGTTAGTTGCCTCACACAGATAGACGCCTTCCAAGTCTGAGGATTTCTTCTTAAATGTCAGCGTTGCCTCCTGAGATGAAGAAGTTGAGACTGATGGAGGCAGAGTTTTGCCTAATCTGCGAGAAAAAGTCAGGATTACATTTTAGCACACAGTGGTGTTACACACATCGTACCCTCTCATGGTAAATAAGAAGTCAAATGATTAGTTACAAGATTAATCTAGAGAAGCATCCACTGTATGTAACTGCCTTGAGGATACAGGAAGTTTAACCACACCCATGATTACCACCCTGGCTGCGGATGCATTTGTCATACCCACATTTAGCCTGTGTGGTCTATAATTTATGACTTATACACATTATGACACATAGAGGGCCTTTCAGCAGGAGTTACACTAAAGCCACCTGTGTAATCACAAGTGGCTTTACCTGTCACTACAGATAAAGCCTGTAGTCACACCCTCTTTTAGGTTTTTAACTTTTTCAGGGAAAATGACCCATCCACATTTTTTAGCACTCATTAGTCATGAGTCAGTGAGTGTTTTAAATGGTCCCAATTGCAGGCGTTTCCCCAGTGTATTTTAAGGCTTTACTTGCCCCCACCCCTGCTTCATTTTGTTTTTAGAATAATAATAATAATAATAATAATACAATAGCATTCACAACCAAATGCTATTTTAAATTTAATTTAAACATAAAATTAAATTTAGTGTTTACATTTAATTTAAACACTAAATTTAATAAATTAATTAATTTTTTTCTTAAACATGTTGGACTGCAAGTGTCACTGGTGGAGCAGAATTACTCCTAAAAGACGAGTTGAACTTTTACAGAGTAAACTTGCCAGCCCCTTAAAATCGTAAATTTAAATATTAAACAATTTGAAATATTTTCATTTATGTATGATGAAACAAAGCAATCTCGTCAGCATTAATATTCTCCATAAACAACATTTGGATTAAACAGAAGTGTAAATTATTGCTATTCATTTCAACATAATTTAGCAAATTTTGTTTTGTATTTAAATAGCATTTCACTGGTGATGGCTTCCTGTAACATATAATTGCCCGGATTGTTTTGACACTTTCTGTCATCGTTTAATACAAAAACCCAGTGGACCGCTGGTGATCTGCCTCGGTGCCCCGATCACTGTGCTTAGCAGGTTTTCTGTGGGAATCCCTGCGATTGGGCAGGTTGAAACATTCGTTTCATGTGAATGCTTATCCAGTTTACCTTGCTACAGGTAACTGAAGTCACTGAAAACAAAAGATTATCTTGTGCTCCATCTAAGGCTGAAGGTGAATTGAGAACAAACACAGCTAGTCCCAGATGGTTTATGGTTCAAACTCATTTGACCCTGGTTAAAAAATTCCAGCAGCTGGAGAGATAAAGATCTATTTTATATACTGTCTGAAATTGACTTTTGAAGACGTTTTCATTCATTTAGTAAGTTAAAACATAAGATACTGACGAGTAAAATGTTAAAATCAAGATGCAATTTAAAAAATAAAAAATAATAAACAAAAGCAAAATCTATCCCATTTATGAAGCGTTACATAACTTTTGCCACTCAGACAATGGAAGGTCCTTCTTTCCTTCCTTCCTTCCTTTCCTCCAGTGTAAAAGTGTAGGGGAACATTCAGTCCATCAGCAGGTGCTGTGTTTTTATTATCCTGATATGAGATTAGAACAGAGGGAACACCTTTGGTGTTTACTTTGGTGTGGTTCAGCATTTACACGCCAACGTATTTTGTCTCCTAATCTCTTGTGCAAAAACAAATTGTGACCAACTATGACTGCAGTGTCTTTATAAAGAAAAATCGCATATAGCCCTAAATGTCTGGGGAGCTAACATTTATCTTTGGTTTTATTTCTCCACTTTTGATGGTTTTACCAAAGGAACTTCAGCCATTGCATTCAAAATATGTTTTCTCCCAATTTCGTAACTCTCTCTACATGTACTCTCTTGCATGTGGAGAGTACACTAAGCTGGAATGAGGAGAAGCCCCTGTGAATCATGCATGTGTTAGTTCAACTGCAGGTACAAGTTCAAATCTATATTTAGATCATTACTGCAGCTTTGAGGAACTCATTTAAATAATTATATTCAAGTGTGGACATGTCTGCAAAGGTTTTATTTAAGTAAAAAGAGAGAATTTGAATATCATTTTAGGTATTGTTTTAAAAAAAATAAAACTAATGCCCTCAGAGTAAAAGTTTCTACATGCGTCACTCTGTTTTTACCCATCACACTGTTGTAAAGCCCCTGTTTTCATAAATACCTTTTTTCCTTGACAATGCAAATCCTAAAAAGAAGCTTTATGCCCCAGGTGAAATAGCCTGGCTTTATGTCTATTTAATGCCACAATAACGGTGTTGTTGGAAAATAAGGTCCCATGAAAGGTGGATTTATGACTGTTTGATGTGTTAACAGATGAGGCATAGTTGAAACAAGAATCATACAGGATTATAAAGATGGCTTTATGAATTCCATCTGGATTTGCAATTTTAAATTGATGAACGTTAAAGCTTCTAAGGTAATGCAAACATAGTTTAACTAATTTTAATTACCATAATTTTGAGATGTTTTAATTGTTACATTTTACCTTAGCTGAAAAATCCTACTGAGGATTATCCACACACCTCAACATACAACCTTAGCTTCCCACAGGAGTTAAACATTTGCATCATTGATATCTGAACCATTTGCAGATAAACAACAACAGCAATGCCTTTGGAGACACCCATCTGTTTTTGGTTTGGGCGAGTGTTTCTTGTCACTTTGACTCATGACTGCATCTCTGGGTGTTACAAGTAGATAATGATACTGACGCCATCCTTAAGTCATACTATCTAACTAAAACCTGGATGGGATGCTTAATAGTTTCAGTCTTAACAGCTGACAAGCATTTGTGTAATAACTAACGGTTTAAATAAAGGAAGTATATTATCCTCTAAATTTAATTTACACCGTTCCACCCTATTCCGCTATCTTCGGAATAGGGTGAGATTTTGTTTGTAACTTCAGCCCTTGCTTTCCCAATTTACCTCCAAAGGGAGGAGTGGACATCATTTTGAAAATTCCTACACAATAGGTCTCATCTCAGAAATGTATAATAGCATTTTATCACTGAATACATTATAGCTCAATGAAACCAGAATGGTCAGAAGAACTTGGTATTAACATCTCTGATGAGACTTGAAATCAGGCGTTACGTAGAGCAAATGGGTCAACATCATGCGCTCGACTTGAACTAATTCAGTTCAAGGCCCTTGGTAGGATTCATTACAGCAGAGCCAGACTCTGAAGGATTTATTCTATCCATCCATCCATTTTCTGAGCTCCCTTCTCCCTAACGGAGTCGGGTCTCCAGCTGCGTTCCGGGCGAGAGGCGAGGTCACCCTGGACAGGTCGCCAGTCTGTCGCAGGGCAAGACAAACAGGACAAACTCACACACACTCACACCTAGGGAGAATTTGGGAAGGCCAATTAACCTGACAGTCATGTTTTTGGACTGTGAGAGGAAGCCGGAGAACTCGGAGAGAACCGACGCATGCACAGGGAGAACATGCAAACTCCGTGCAGAAAGACCCCGGGCCGGGAATCGAACCCAGGACCTTCTTGCTGCAAGACAACAGCGCTACCCGCTGCGCCACTGTGCAGCCTGGATTTATCCTATTGTCAGTGAAACATGTGCACATTGTCATATATCTAAGGCAAATTGAACTTGCATGTTCTGGTCCTGTAACAAACTGTGAAATGTCTGGTCTACAAGATTATCAGATCCTTTTGAAGCTTTTGGAACAGGCAACCCACTGCTGAATTGGCAATATTTGAAGCTCCAGGGGTGGGTATATCATTAATACACTTTCGGAAACACTGATCTAATACATTAAAGTTTGACAAAAAAAATAAAAAGCATATATAGCCATTATTCACTTGACTCATGCTAAACCATTATCTGAACTCTCCAAGCTTAATTTGTCTGAATGATAACCAAACCATTACTCTGGGGTTGGTGATAAAAATTATTTGTTATTCAAAGCTACTTTAAATAAATGAACAGTTATTCAAAAACTACTGCACCTGCTCCAGATAAGTGTTGGCCTTGGGTTGCCTTCAGCCTCACAAGTAAAAACCAGGTCCTCTGATTGCTTTTTGATGTTCACATTCAGAGGTGGATCTGTAAGCACAAAGGAAGTGTGTTATTAACATGATCAAATAATTACATTACTGCAGTGCTCTGGTAAACAACAATTTTAGCAGTGACACACTAACAGAACTACATTTACAGTTGTCTGTCTGCCCAGAACAGACCACTATGTTTGATTTACATTATGTCTGAATGCTATAAAGCACCCAGCCTCCTTAGTGGTTAGCTTTGTCAAAAGCCTTGTTTTATCCCAAAGTCTGACATAAAAACACACAGAGATGGAGTATGAATTATCATCAAATGTGTCATCAATTTTCAAGGACTTTTTATGACAATATAAAAACTGAAAGAGTAATTTGATGAAAGATGAATATCAGGGCGTCACTGAGCTTCAGCTTGAGGTATCTTTTTCAGGTGAGACCGTTTCGTCTCATGAGGTGAACAAAACTTAACACAATATTTTCCTTCTGATTTGCTTTCCTCTGAGTGAGTTTAACAATTCATAAATTCATGTGTTCTAATTTAAACCCTACTTATTTTCTATACTGGTAAACAAATCCGTTCAGACATGCTTTTAGCCATAGAGCATCAGCTTGTTTCTCTTGGGAGTTAAGTAAGTTTGATCAATTATACAGAGAAATAAACATAAAAATGCTCAAGTCATTTGTGGAACTTAAATTAATTGCAAATTACTTTTTTGTAGAATCTACATAAAATAATTTATATTATCCAAGGGTGGTGGTTATTTGCAATCAGGCCCAAATAAATTAAAACTTTTTCTTTCACAAAAAAGTAGATGTTCAACAGTTCAAACCATTGGAGGAATGAAAACAACTATTTCTGCTTAGAAATTTTCATCTTAACTCTGTTTTCCAGCCTTTTATGGGAAAATGAGGTAATTCCTGTTGGAACTGGTAATACACCCACCCACCATTTAGTGGTGACTGTCACCACCCAGTGATACATGCCAGATTTGTGATGCATAGCACCTGAATGCTGCTTCTCGATGTTTAGTTCTGGTTCTGGGGATGCAGAATCGAGAATATGGAAATCTTCTTCAGGTGATAGAAGGTTGACTTTGTAATTGTCTTTATGTGACTCTGAAGATATTAAATAAGAGAGTTCTAGGGCTGAGTTTTGGATGTCCTGCACATGACTTATGTTTGTGCAGGACAGACATATTCTTTATGTAGGACTCCAACCAGCTAATCCTTACAGGTTTGAATCTGGCAACAAATCAGTTGGTAATGACATGAGAAATATGTCATGACCAAAAGTGCCAAAAGCCCTGAGGTTCAACTAAACTAGCACTTGTTTTTCTACAGTCTGTGATTATATGAGCTAACCAAAACCAAATTGAAAGTCTTCAGAAAGGTTAGCTATTACCAGGAGCTAATTAACTGTTTAATTACAGCTTTGAGTGGAAGATTGGAGATTGGAGATATGTATTTAAGTCTCCAGATTGGAGGCTGAGTTGCTACAAATATAAATGGGGAGAGCCATAATTTCTCGTTGTGGCAACCACGGCCTATTGCAAGGTGTTTTTGACAAAAGAGTAGCTGGAGTTCATGGAAACCCCATGAGCTCCAGTTTCTACACCTGAAAAATGTGCATGATGGTATTTTCGCAAGGAGCCCAAACAAACAGAGGCTTCTTGCAAGTCATCAATTACCATCAAGCTGACTTTTGCCAAATTCTTATTTCTAAATATTATGTCAGAAAGAAAATATTTCTTATTTAACATCTGGAACCCACAAGCAGTAATGCCAACATCCTTAGTACTGCTGGTATTCATCCAGGGAACTGAGGAAACTATTTTTGTTCTTTACACAGGTGGGCTACCAGGGCCAGCAGGGCCTTTTCTGATAGCCCTAGGAAATTGAAAAGAAAAAGTATAAAATGTCTTATTCATATTTAATTTTATCTAAAATTACATTTTTATTCTACAAACGAGTTGCTTACGAGTTGATGTTTCACTTAATTTCTTGCTTTAAAAAACGCAGCTGCTCCTCCTCGGGACCTTTTGTCAAAAATACCATGCAATAGACTGTAGATGGTGTGACTGAAAAAAATATCAGCCAATCAAAATTAACATGCAATGACAGTCCATCCCTCTGGCCCTGCTGTAAGTGAAGAACATCTGCTGCATTCCCTGTCACTGTAGTGCGCTTGATGTTTACAAAATGGCCTTTGTAGGAACTTCCTAAGGTATTTAAAGGCTGCATACAGTTAGGGCCAGAAATATTTGGACAGTGACACAGGTTTTGTTATTTTAGCTGTTGACAAAAATATGTTCAGAAATACAATTTATATATAGTATGGGCTGAAAGTGCACACTCCCAGCTGCAATATGAGAGTTTCCACATCCAAATCGGAGAAAGGGTTTAGGAATCATAGCTCTGTAATGCAGAGCCTCCTCTTTTTCAAGGGACCAAAAGTAATTGGACAATGGACTCTAAAGGCTGCAATTAACTCAAAAGGCCTTTCCCTTGTTGACCTGTAATCAAGTAAGTAGTTAAAAGGTCTGGGGTTGTTTCCAGGTGTGTGTTTTGCATTTGGAAGCTGTTGCTGTGACCAGACAACATGCGGTCAAAGGAGCTCTCAATTGAGGTGAAGCAGAACATCCTGAGGCTGAAAAAAAAGAAAAAATCCATCAGAGAGATAGCAGACATGCTTGGAGTAGCAAAATCAACAGTCTGGTACATTCTGAGGAAAAAGGAATTGACTGGTGAGCTTGGGAACTCAAAAAGGCCTGGGCGTCCACGGAAGACAACAGTGGTGGATGATCGCCGCATACTTTCTTTGGTGAAGAAGAACCCGTTCACAACATCAACTGAGGTCCAGAACACTCTCAGAGAAGTAGGTGTATCTGTCTCTAAGTCAACAGTAAAGAGAAGACTCCATGAAAGCAATACAAAGGGTTCACATGTAGATGCAAACCATTCATCAATTCCAAAAATAGACAGGCCAGAGTTAAATTTGCCCAAAAACACCTCAAGAAGCCAGCCCAGTTCTGGAAAAGTATTCTATGGACAGATGAGACAAAGATCAACCTGTACCAGAATGATGGGAAGAAAAAAGTTTGGAGAAGAAAGGGAACGGCACATGATCCAAGGCACACCACATCCTCTGTAAAACATGGTGGAGGCAACGTGATGGCATGGGCATGCATGGCTTTCAATGGCACTGGGTCACTTGTGTTTATTGATGACATAACAGCAGACAAGAGTAGCCGGATGAATTCTGAAGTGTACCGGGATATACTGTCAGCCCAGATTCAGCCAAATGCTGCAAAGTTGATCGGACGGCGCTTCACAGTACAGATGGATAATGACCCCAATCATACAGCGAAGCTACCCAGGAGTTCAGAGATGCAAACAGGAGGCAACTGAATATTCTGCAATGGCCAATCACCAGATCTTAACCCATTGAGCATGCATTTCACTTGCTCAAATCCAGACTTCAGACGGAAAGACCCACTAAGAAGCAAGACCTGAAGGCTGCGGCTGTAAAGGCCTGGCAAAGCATTAAGAAGGAGGAAACCCAGCGTTTGGTGATGCCCATGGGTTCCAGACTTAAGGCAGTGATTGCCTCCAAAGGATTCACAACAAAATATTGAGAAAAAACTTTTTTGTTTGGGTTATGTTTATATGTCCAATTACTTTTGAGCTCCTAAAATGTGGAGTGTTTGTAAACAAATGTGTACAATTCCTACATTTTCTATCACATATTTTTGTTCAACCCTTTAAATTAAACGTTACAATCTGCACTTGAATTCTGTTGTAGAGGTTTCATTTCAAATCCAATGCGGTGGCATGCAGAGCCCAACTCACAAACATTGTGTTACTGTCCAAATATTTCTGGCCCTAACTGTATGTGAGTGCTGTGAGTGGCTTTTCTTTTAATTGTTCACATGTGCCATCTGAGCAATATGGATTGATGTTGAGCTCAAATGGGGAACACAGAAAAGTTTTTCTAAATTGTTGGCTGCTCAATTATGTGAACTGTTTTCTGTGTATTTTGCTGAAATATGCATTGATGTGTTGCTTGATGTATGTATTGCTCGGGTACATTGTTGCTTTACTTGGCTATTTTTAATTTATTTGCATATTATCGGATGCCCTAGGCTTGGTGTGGTGCATAGTTGTTGCATTGTCCTGCACAAGGTGTGTATTGTTCAGGAATAGTTTACGTCTATTGAAGGGATATGTGCCAGCATCAAATGTCTACTGCAACCTCTCAAACCAAGAAATACATTAAATCTAGCAATGCAAGCTACACAGAATATTAAACTAGGTCAGGTAGTGCCGTATTGTAAAAGAGTTATCAAGATACAAATTGTTAAAAGTTGGAAATGTATTTTTACCATTTCATGTGAATTACTGCATTAGCTGTAATTTTACTGCTGCCAGAAGAAGATAAAAATTACAGAAAATCAAATATTTGCTTGTCAAGATTCTGTTCACCCAAAGGCTCGACCCTCAGCAACAGTCACAGTACCTTATGTGCCTCTTTGAGAAAAACAACAGCTATGAAAGCACTCGTATCGATGCAATATTAATCTAATTTCACCAATAAGACCAATTAATATTCATTTCATAATATTTGAGAACCATTGTTATAAATGCAAGCTATTTATCAGTGCACATTTTATGACTTCTTCACTAGTGTTAGTGAAGATAACCATGTTGGTTATCTCAACGGCACCAGCAACGGCTGCACTCACTGTGAGAACGGCTGCGTCCACAACGGCAAGATAAAGAAAGCTTAGAGACTTTGGAAGGAAGTACCCAGGCAGTATGGCCTGGGTTAAAATTACTATAGATTCCAAAGAATAATTTGACTGTTTTGCAGTTTACATACTAATTTACTGATACTTCCCTAAAGCTGTACGTTGATATGTGACACATAAAAGGATTACATATGAAGTTGACTGTCATTGATCTCTTAGTCCTCTAGGTTGACTGTCAGGTTAAAAAAAAACACCACATCTTCACCTTTACAGACAAAGGCTGCAGGATAAGCCTTTG